GCTACTCAGGAGGCTGAGATCTGAGGAGCCTAGTTCAAAGCCAATCAAGGCAGGAAAGTCCATGAGATTCTTATCTCTAATCACTGAAAAGCCAAAAGCACAACTGTGGGACAATGGTAGAGCAGCAGCCTAGAGCAAAAAGCTCAGGGACAGCACCTGGGCCTTGAGTGTGAGCACTAGGACAGGCAAAAAACAACAGAACAAAACCTGCAAGCCACATACCTCTGTTTGAGAGAAAACAGTGACAACTCAGACCCAGAGATCAAATGGCAATTTTTATCAAGACTAGAGAAATACCGTCACAGGTGAATCTTGGCACAGGTGAATCTTAGCATAGGTGAATCTTAGCACAGGTGAATCTTGGCACAGGTGAATCTTAGCACAGGTGAATTTTAGCACAGGTGAATCTTGGTACAGGTGAACCTTGGCACAGGTGAACCTTGGTACAGGTGAATCTTGGCACAGGTGAATCTTGGCACAGGTGAACCTTGGCACAGGTGAACCTTGGTACAGGTGAACCTTGGCACAGGTGAATCTTAGCACAGGTGAATCGGCACAGGTGAATCGGCACAGGTGAATCGGCACAGGTGAATCTTGGCACAGGTGGATCTTGGCACAGGTGAATCTTGGCACAGGTGAATCTTAGCACAGGCGAATCGGCACAGGCGAATCGGCACAGGTGAATCTTGGCACAGGTGAATCTTGGCACAGGTGAATCTTGGCACAGGTGGATCTTGGCACAGGTGAATCTTGGCACAGGTGAATCTTAGCACAGGTGAATCGGCACAGGTGAATTGGCACAGGTGAATCATGGCACAGGTGGATCTTGGCACAGGTGAATCTTGGCACAGGCGAATCGGCACAGGTGAATCTTGGCACAGGTGGATCTTGGCACAGGTGAATCTTGGCACAGGTGAATCTTAGCACAGGTGAATCTTGGCACAGGTGGATCTTGGCACAGGTGAATCTTGGCACAGGTGAATCTTGGCACAGGCCAATCGGCACAGGTGAATCTTGGCACAGGTGAATCGGCACAGGTGAATCTTGGCACAGGTGAATCTTGGCACAGGTGGATCTTGGCACAGGTGAATCTTGGCACAGGTGAATCTTGGCACAGGTGAATCGGCACAGGTAAATCTTGGCACAGGTGAATCTTGGCACAGGTGAATCTTGGCACAGGTGAATCTTAGCACGGGTGAATCTTGGCACGGGTGGATCTTAGCACAGGTGGATCTTGGCACAGGTGAATCTTGGCACAGGTGAATCTTGGCACAGGTGAATCTTGGCACGGGTGAATCTTAGCACGGGTGAATCTTGGCACAGGTGAATAGGCACAGGTGAATCGGCACAGGTGAATCTTGGCACAGGTGAATCTTGGCACAGGTGGATCTTAGCACAGGTGGATCTTGGCACAGGTGAATCTTGGCACAGGTGAATTGGCACAGGTGAATCTTGGCACAGGTGAATCTTGGCACAGGTGAATCTTAGCACAGGTGAATCTTAGCACAGGTGGATCTTGGCACAGGTGGATCTTGGCACAGGTGAATCTTGGCACAGGTGAATCGGCACAGGTGAATCTTGGCACAGGTGAATCTTGGCACAGGTGAATCTTGGCACAGGTGAATCTTGGCACAGGTGAATAGGCACAGGTGAATCTTGGCACAGGTGAATCTTGGCACAGGTGAATCTTGGCACGGGTGAATCTTAGCACGGGTGAATCTTGGCACGGGTGAATCTTGGCACAGGTGAATAGGCACAGGTGAATCTTGGCACAGGTGAATCTTAGCACAGGTGAATCTTGGCACAGGTGGATCTTGGCACAGGTGAATCTTGGCACAGGTGAATCTTAGCACGGGTGAATCGGCACAGGTGAATCTTGGCACAGGTGAATCTTGGCACAGGTGAATCTTGGCACAGGTGAATCTTGGCACAGGTGGATCTTGGCACAGGTGAATCTTGGCACAGGTGAATCTTAGCACAGGTGAATCGGCACAGGTGAATCTTGGCACAGGTGAATCTTGGCACAGGTGAATCTTGGCACAGGTGAATCTTGGCACAGGTGAATCTTGGCACAGGTGAATCTTGGCAAAGGTGAATCTTGGCACAGGTGAATCTTGGCACAGGTGAATCTTGGCACAGGTGAATCTTGGCACAGGTGGATCTTGGCACAGGTGGATCTTAGCACAGGTGGATCTTAGCACAGGTGAATCTTGGCACAGGTGAATCTTGGCACAGGTGAATCGGCACAGGTGAATCTTGGCACAGGCGAATCTTAGCTCGCTGCTATCATTTTGTGTCTGTGTCCCTACATTGTAATCCTAGCTTCCCCCATTTTTTAAAATTCGAACTACCAGCGGCCTTTGAGTGTGTGAGTCAGGCACTCTACCACGTAAGCCTCGGCTCCAGTCCTTTACTTCCTTTAGCTGTTTTGATAGGGTCTCATACCACAATGTTCCTCTGTAAGCCATCCATGGGGCTGGATGGCAGGCCACTGCCACCATGGTGGGCTTGTTCACTGAGACGTCAGGCTGGCCTGGAAAGGGATTCTCAGCAGAACTCCCTCCACCAGGTTTCACACAGCTCTGAACAGAAATAGGGAAGTTGCTCAGTAGCTAAAACCATTTGGCTCTAATTAGCATATTACTCTCTTCTGCTTCAAGTCACACTAGCGCGCACACATACACACACACACACACACACACACACACACTAAGGAATAGGGTCCAAACCACACGTGCCCTGCACACCAGCCGTCTGCCCTAGCACTGTAGCTCACGGCTTGCCTGGCCACTGCTCCTCCTATTACCCTCAAGACAGAGTCTCAGTGCTGGACAACTCTGTATACCTCTGACTCTTGGAGCTGGCTTTCCCTAACGCTCAGTCAACCTTGGCCTTAATTGGTCTATTAATTCCTCCAAAGATCTGTAAGCTAATATATACTATTGCTTCATGGGTGACACTATTCATTTGCCCTTTGTCTGCTCACCAGTCCAACTGGATTACAACAAACCTGCATTGTGAGGAGTCACAGGAGAAGTAACCACGCCCCCAGGGGGCCCAAGGACATGGGAGGTTGTCAGAGGACGTGCCTGAGCGCGTGCGAGGGCGCACACACACACACGCACACACACAGCAGCTCACCCGCACTCTGACGGTTACCAGCAACGTAGGTATTTCGGGGCACACCACCCCTCTTCCATCCATTTGTCACTGGGCCAACATGTCACCTGAAATTCTCGACAGCTCTGCAGACTCCCGGTGGAGAGCAAGTCTCATTTCGACGTGAGCCCTGGGATGGGAGGTGAGAAGGGCAGCCGGGCGTGTGCTGAGCTGAGCTGGCGGGAGGCCAAGAGGCCAGCGTCTCACCTAGCGGCTCACCTCGCGGGGGAACAGACCCCCCAAACCGTGGGGTGATGTGATGCGCAGGTAGCACAGAGGTCACAGCTGAGGGCAGCCGCATAAAGGCGGCGCGACATGACCAGAGACAACCACAGACGCGTGCCAGACTCGGAGATTCCCACCGGAAATGCCAGGCAGCGGGCGGCAGGGGAGTCTCAAGTTCAAGGCTGAGTATCAGGCTGTCCAGGGCTACACAATAACGCCTTGTAGTCTCCAAAAAGCAAACAAACAAACAAGGCGGGGAGGGAGGGAGTCCGGGGACAAGGTAAGTCCCATTGGGATTTCTTAGTTGGAAAGTCAACATGTCCAAAGGCCTGCTACTAACTTTACTATGGCAAAAGGCAAGAAGAGTACCTGCAGCATTTCAGACAGACGTACTTTAACATTGCTCTTCATGAAAGCCGAGCAGCTCACTGATGCTTTGAAGTCACAGAAAGCGAGTGGTTTTGCTTGTGATCAAACTGAGGTCTAAGTTCTGAGGGCTCCTGGGCCTCCAGCTCACTTCTCTAGCTCCCCATAAACCACCCCGTGTCTGACTGTTGCCACACAGGCTGACACACCCATCAACACTGTACTGGGGCTGAGTGCCGGTGGCTCACGCCTGTCATCCTAGCTACTCTGGAGGCTGAGATCTGAGGATCAGGGTTTGAAGCTAACCAGGGCAGGGAAGTCTGTGAAACTCTTAACTCCAAGTAACCACCAAGAAAATCCAGAAGTAAACATACTCAGATGAGAAATGACTTTGACTATGTGTTCAGTGTGTGTATGTAAGAGATAGAGTTGTGTGTATGTGTGTGTGCTTGTGTGTGTGTGTGAGTGAGAGAAAGAGGTCCTGACACTTCAGTGGGTTGTAGCCTACTGAGGAAAGACTGCTGTAACACCTACAACACAAGTGCATGTTGTCTATGAAAACTCTATACAACACTAGAAATAAAATCTACATGAATATACAATGATAAAAAAATAACCCCGAAGTAGAGCTGTGGCTCAAGTGGTAGAGCGCAGCTTGAAACACAAAGCTAAGGGAGAGGCCCCGGCCCTGGTTCAAGGCCCACCCAGCAGTGGCACAGAAAATAAAAAGAGAAAGGAAAGAGGACACTATCCAGGAGCGTCAGTGTAGGGTGCTGGTTCCCACAGGTCTGATCCATCAGATAATTTCTTTTCACCGAATAAGGAGAAGTTGGCACTGACACCTTTCACGTCGCTGAGACTGCAAAGAGCTCCTGACAGCTCCCCACCCACAGAACTGCACACGGGGTAACGCATCTCTGCCAGTTACCCTGCGAGCACGCGCCCAGGCACAGCAGCTTGCTGAAGAAGGTCAAGTAAGGAAGGCCAACCACCTCCAGCTCTTCCCTCCCACCACGTCCTCATCTCCAACAGCTTCTCTCCAGAAATAACTAGAACGCATGAGCTCACCCACAGGGAGAAGCCAGAGGCATGACACCTCCAGGCTGCCTATTTATAGCAAGTGTTAACACTCCTCAGGAAAAGACACCAGAAGTCTCCTTGGAAACGCCCATGCCTGTCCTCCCTTTGGAATTCCACCCTGCTGACACCACAGCCTTTGAAACAAGCCGAACCAGCACAGAGGTACTTACGGCTTTCCCCCGGGGATCCCCGCCAGGCTGGGAGGGATGGTAGGTACTCTCATGTGAGGAGGAGGATCAAACCCAACCTGGAAATAAAGAATAAAGCAAGGAAGATCCAGTTTATGCAACACAGACACTCTGTGAACATCCACTTTGCACTAGAAACGCATATGTCCCCCAACGCCGTATCAATAGGAATAGGATTTTTCACAAGGAAAGGTAGACTGGACGCCAGAACCACCTCTGAACGGCCCAAGACACGCTTCCTTGCTGAGAGACAGAGAAAGGCTTAGCCTCTCTGTGCAGAGCACAGGCTTCCAGGGGAGATCATGGGCACAGCAAGCCAGAGCGGGGCACTGGAAAAGCCAGCAGTGTGGACACTCTGGGCTACCGTAGGAGCTGTGCAGGGCGGTCGGTGCCAAGGGCATCTCCCCAACGGTGAGGATCAGAAGTATCCTCCTTCAAGTTCATGCCACAGAGTGTTCTGTGGAGTCCCTCTTGCTCCTGCATGACAGCAATTACTCCCTCAGTGGTTCCTCCACGCGGGGAGAGAACTCTGAGCTTTACTTGACATCGCCATCAATGGGAGAAATGGTTGCTGAAGAGGGCAGGGAAGGATAGTACACGGCACATTTCAGGTTGTCAACAGAGTTCAGTTTGCTGCTGGAAGTGACACTCCATTCCTTCTCTGATGCAACGCAATTCACTCTTCAAATGCAGTTTTGTACCTTCTTGGTCAAGGCAGGGAGGAAGACTCTGCCCACACGCCTTCAGCCTGCCCTTGTGTAACCCCATGTAACTCCTCTACTACCCTTGCTACTGCCTTTAGAGGCAGGCGTAGGCACATGCCTGCAGCTCACCCTGTGCCACCAGCTACTCAGGACACTGAGACCCGGGGAATGGTGGTGCAAAGCCAGTCCAGACAGAAAAGTCCACTGAGATTCCATCTCCAACAAACCAGCAAAATGCCAGACCAGAGATGTGGCTCAAGTGGTAAAGCATCAGTAAAAAAAAAAAAAAAAAGTGGAGAGACAAATCACTAAATTCAAGCCCCAGTACCAGCACCAAAAAAAACAAACCCCCAAATCCCCAAAGCTATGTCTTTTCCAATGTATTTCCCTTACATTTAGAGAGGGAGAAAAGAGCTTAAGAAAATGAAAGAAAGTAAAGGGTTCTGTGAGCTTCTAGAATCATTTCATTGCCTTCAAATAAAAAAAAAGTGCTTTGACATGTAATGACTGGCTGTAATGTAATGACTGACGCCTTCCTCTTGGCTGTATTGACATGTAATGACTGGCTGTAATGTAATGACTAGCTGTAATGACTGGCTGTAATGTAATGACTGTAATGTAATGACTGACTCCTTCCTCTTGGCTGTATTGAAATGTAATGGCTGACTGTAATGTAATGACTGGCTGTAATGTAATGACTGTAATGTAATGACTGACTCCTTCCTCTTGGCTGTATTGAAATGTAATGGCTGACTGTAATGTAATGACTGGCTGTAATGACTGACTGTAATGTAATGACTGACTCCTTCCTCTTGGCTGTATTGAAATGTAATGGCTGACTGTAATGTAATGACTAGCTGTAATGACTGACTGTAATGTAATGACTGACTCCTTCCTCTTGGCTGTATTGAAATGTAATGGCTGACTGTAATGACTGACTGTAATGTAATGACTGTAATGTGCTCCTGACTCCTTCCTCTAGGCTGTATTAAAATGTAATGACTGGCTGTAATGCCCCCCTGACTCCTTCCTCTTGGCTGTATTGACATGTAATGACTGGCTGTAATGTAATGACTGACGCCTTCCTCTTGGCTGCATTGAAATGTAATGACTGGCTGTAATGTAATGACTGACTGTAATGCCCCCCTGACTCCTTCCTCTTGGCCATATTTTAATGGAATGATCCCAGTACGTAATTCCCTATTACACCATGGAAGGGGTTTGGGGGAACATTTTTAATGTGCTTTGGTGGGTGAAAAGCCACTGTCCTCAGTCCACGGCAGGCTGCCCCACACCCATCACCAGCGAAGCCGCACAGCTGCGCGCTGCGGCCCCCCCAGCCCCAGCCCCGGCCCCAGCCCCACCTGCCCACCCCCCCAGCCCCGGCCCCAGCCCCACCTGCCCACCAACCCAGCCCCGGCCCCAGCCCTGGCCTGCCCGCCCCAGCAGCCCTACCATGGGGGAGCGCCCGTAGGCCACTGCAGCGGCGGCGGCGGCGGCGACACTCATCTGGGGTGACATGTTGTGCAGACTGGCGTAGGCCGCTCCGGGGCTGTTCAGCTCACCGTTCATGCTGGCATGGGCAACCATCCCAAAAGGAGCGGGGTACGGGCCGGGCACTGCCAGGGGGGTCCTCAGACCAGCTGCTGGAAGACACGTAAGGCGCTGGTGATTCCCAGGGCCGGCTCTGTCAACACCAACCAGTAATCCCGTGTCATCGGTTCGTGTCAACTCCAATTTAGACACTGGCTCTACCTGTCCCCACAGCTGGGTGCCAGGACCCCGGCCAAAAGCACAACCCGCACATTTCCTCACGGGCACAGGCAGCCTGGGAAGCCGGGGCAAGCAGGGTGAATCAGCACCAGTGCACCCGATTGAGACAGGGCAAACCAAGGCACGGACACTCCCGCGTTTACCTGACTTAATCTCAAAAGAAGATTTTCTCGATAAAATCCAAGATTTCTCCTTCAGTCCGAACTTTCCATTCCCTGGTACCAACTCCAAATGAAAACCAAATCCTAGATTTACGTAAACCAAAGCATGCGTTTAGGAGGACTGAGGTGGGGCCGGCCTTCCTTGGACTGAGGTGGGGCCAGCCTTCCTTGGACTATGGTGGGCCGGCCTTCCCTGGACTATGGTGGGTCGGCCTTCCTTGGATTCGGGTGGCCACTGGTTTTTCTCCCAGTGAGGAAGACCGAGTTTACACATCCCAAAGTCCTCACAGCCTGGTGTCTCGGGGAGGCCTTCCCCACTTCCACAGAAGGAGGGGTCGCCGATGCCCGAAGATGTGCCAACTGCAGGTACACTGCGGCCAAGACGCCGGCCCTCTCCGTCCTATATGGACGGCTTGCTAAAGGGCGTAGGTTGGGACTGATTACCAGAAGCTTTATCTGAAGTCCCTAGGATTTTAGATTATGTGTGTGAAAGGGAAAGAAAGACAAACCGATCACAGACAGTTGGGGAGCAAACAGCTGCTGAAACCCAAGGACAAACATCTGTTTCTTACTGTGCCTTTTTTTGCTTTTTCTTCCCAGACACAGGGAAGTGGGTGACTGCAAACGTGTTTCGTATTCGTGGGGAAATCGCACCACAAACGCAGCGCCACGTAGACCCAGCCACGACACCCAGCACAACAAGAGGGGTGCCGTACCGGCTTGGTTGACGAGGGGCTCCATGGCTGGAGGCTTGCCGAGGCCCGGGCGGAGGCCCGGGGTGGCGCTGGGGCCTGGCGCTGGCAGGTCGCTCCGAGGCGTGGGCGTACTGGATTTCAGAACGGGCGTGCTGGCTTTTTCATGCTGGTATCATTAAACAAATTAAATGAGTATTATTTTTAATCCAAGCCATATTACACAATTTATCACAACAGCAGCTGGGACACTGGGCACCTTCTAGCTACTCCCTCAGCCAATTTTCATAAATCCACACAATGTTGACAGCATTAACTCGTGAGCGAGAAATGCTGACCTTTCCTCTTCCTGCCAGAATTAAAACCAGAGCTGAGCCATGGAGCACGACCACACTTCTTCCTCCATCGGTCGTACTTCAACAACAACACAAGAAGAATTTCCCGTCAGCCTTGTGGACATTGGCCGGGTGCCAAGTCAGAATGGTGACCAGCCAGAGGAGAGTCCCCAGCCGCCTGGAGACGCATGCAGAGGCCACCAAGAATGGCTGCGGGGGAACAGGCCCTGGTTTTTTGCCTTTAGGTGGTGGCTCTGGGATGGAGACTGATAGACCAGCAGTTACAGGAGACACTAACAAGACACTAACACATGCCACTGGATGTGAGAAATACATCTGAAAAGAATGCCCAGCCAGGCACGGGTGGCTCACACCTGTCATCCTAACTACTCAGGAGGCTGAGATCTAAGGATCACAGTTCAAAGCCAGCCGGGGTAGGAAAGTCCAAGAGATTCTTATCTCCAATGAACCACCAGAAAACCATTAGTGGTGCTATAGCTCATAGTAGTAGAGCACTAGCCTTGAGCAGCACTCAGGCCCAAGTTCAAGCCCCATGATGGACAAAAATAAAAGAACACCTCCGGAGCTCTATGTCCCCTCCTGCATGGCTGCCCGGTCAGCACAGAGCCTCCTATGTATGGGAGACTCGATCCAGCCAGGGACTTCTGCACACTGAGCAGAGATGGGGTTGGCAAGGCCATCCTCTTCCACGGAAAGCAGCGAGTGTGAGTCCGAGACCACAGCTCCGCCTGGCCTTGGGCTTGGTGGGCCGAGTGCGAGTCACACACCAGCTCCCGGGAGCCTTGGACCCGAGGGCTGGGTAGTCCTGGCCAGTGACTAGGGTCCTTCTCCCCTTCTGAGAAACGGGACCGAACCTGGGGCACCGTGTGAGAGCGACAGGCGACCAGCTAGTGACCAGCACCACGGGAGCAGGGACATGACCACGTCTTCTGTGTTTTTCCTTCCGGCCAGTTGGGAGGGGGGCTGAACGCGAAGCCCCCAGCCCGCCAGGCTCACCGCTCGCTCCGCTGCCGCTCAACCATCTGAGTCGCACGCAACTCAGGCCCTATGGTTTGTTGGTCACGTTGGAGATGGAGTCCAACAAACTTCTGTTTGGTCTGGCTTCAAACAGCAATCCTCCAGATCTCAGCTAGGATTACAAGTGCACTCCTAGCATTTCACTAGGCACCCCAAGCTCCTTGACCCAGAACTTACTATGTAACTGGGCTACAACTTGAGATCTTCCTACCTTAGCTTCCCAAAAGCTGGGATTGGAGTCGTATACCACAATACACTCCACCAAGTGTTTTAAACACATGGGTCCTGATGTACCTCACAGCCACAGTCCCAGGCCCCTTGTGTACATCTGAGGCTCATGCCCCATGATGTAGCCTGACAAGACAGCGCAGGACACAGGGTACACGGACAGCTTCGTAAAAGCAAGGTGACTGTTTGCTCGCTGCACACGCGGCACAGAGCTCTGGGTCATGGGTATTTGCAAAACATGATGCTCTCTTCATGGCCCAAAACAGAAAAAGCAAGCACTTAATAGAGACAAACAACAGAAGGAGTTTCCCTGTTTAAGGATTTAAACACATCCCGTAAGCAACAAGCCTTCTTGTTTTGCACACTTCAGGCCCATGCAGGCAGGGGGCGCGCTACCTACCAGGCTCATTTCTTTGGACTTCAAAGAAGCAGAACTTCCCGAGGAGGCTGTGGACGCAGGGCTGCTGGAAGCATCTTTCTTCAGCAGGCGGCTTTTGTCGATCCCGTTCTCCCGGGGTGAATGCGCAGGGCTGGCTCGTGGAGAGGAAGGGTCCTTAGGGAACACAAGCGATCATTTTCACGGCGCAGCTCATCACGGACAGACTCAAAACACACTGAAAGTGCTTTATGTTGGGGGAGGGGGATGCAGCTGTCAGGGGAAGATGCTGTTCACCAATGACTTGCGAACATGCACAAAGAAAACAATCCTATTCGCCTTCTGTCCAAGTGCCCTCCCTAGAGGAGGTTGAAAAAAAATGGAGTCAGACATCCAACTTAGGAATCCAAATGACCAAGGGAACGTGCTTTATCTTTTGGCCTCAGGAATGCTAAGCAAACACTAAAACTGAGCTACATTTCCCAGGCCACAATATATTTTTGAAAGAAAACAGTTGTGTCAGTTGGATGTTTTTGTTTTGTGTCAGTACTGGGCTTGAGCTCAGGACAAAGGTGCTCTCCTCCGGCTCCTTCATTCAAGGCTGGGCGTCTACCACCTGAATCGCACCTCACTGAAGAGGCCTTTTGATGACTGATAGGAAACGTTACCTCATTGGACACGTCCACCACTAAGTTGTCATCACTTCTGTCACCATCGCTGTCCTGAAAAAAAAGTACCAAGACTGAGTTGCATTGTTTCAGTAGCAGACAAACTAAAAACAAAAACAAAACAAAAACCCTACTGTGGGGTGTGTCACTCGCGTCCAGATTGCCAGCTCTTACGATCAACACCACCTTCCCCCTCCTCTCATCTGACCTGGGGCTCTGGAAAGTTCCACACAGCAAATTCTGCTGCTGTCGCAAACCAGCTACCCAATCACCATCTGCTTGTGGTGAAGACAGCAAGGTACAAGTACTCGGCACAGCCCAAGGGCTTAGGAAGCCTAGCAGAATCTTGGCAGGTAGTCTGCATGCCGAATGCCACCGCCTTTCCCATCGGACGTCCAGTGAGACGCAGGGCTATCCCCACTGCACGCCCTTGAGGACAGCCAACAAACCTTGCCATGATCGACAATTCACAATTATAGAGATAAATTTGCTTAAACCATTTCCCCACGGAGTTGCAGCTTGCCACAAACAGACGATCTAAACTCCTGTTAAGAAGAAACCCAAAAGCTAGGCACTGGTGGCTCACCCCTGTATTCTAGCTGCTCAGGAAGCTGGGATCCAGAGGATCAAGGTTCAAAACCAGCTTAGATAGAAAAGTTTGTGTCCCCAACATAACTAGCAAAAAAAGGAAAAAAAACAAAGTGGGCTGGCGGTATGGCTCAAGTGGTAGGCCCTGCCTAGCAAGTACAAGGCCCTGTACACAAACCCCAGCAGAGTCTCCTCTGAGGAGGCCTGGCATCTTTTTGGAAAGATGAGAGGAAGACAGATGGCAGTATTTGGAAGGCACTGCCATCCTACAACACAGCTTTTATTTTCTTGTCATATCAATGGAAATGCCAAGCTTGGACTGAGCTTGGGACAGATTCAGAGAAGCTGTTCAGCTAAAAAAGTGGCTACTCCTACATCAAAGTTTGGGAAAGCTGAAAAAGTCTACTCCTTTTCTTTTTTTAAATTTGTGGTGGCTCCAATTGTGGGGCTTGAACTCAGGCTTTGCACTTACCGGCCATGTGCTCTGCTCCTCAAGCCACCCTCTCAACAAAAACTTTTTCTTAGCCAAAAGGCCTCACAGTCTTAACTAGAGAAAAATAAATATAATGCATGTGAAATAAATAGGATACATTGAAAAAGGGTAGGTCTGTCGCTGCTTAGCTAAAAGCCCCTTTACCGATGCCCTTGTCAGTTAGGTTGATACAAACAACGTTTGAGAAATATTAGCATGCACAAGTGCAAACACACATCAGCACAGCCACCTTCTGCCAGCCCACCGTCCAGAGTACATTTGCCCTCGACTCTACAAACTCCCGTCTTCAACGCTGCTTGTCAGTCACACCCTTACATGCTCCCAGACTCGAGGGAGGCCTGATTGCTTTCAATGATGGGTACCCGTACTGTTCTCACTGCTGCAAGGGTACCGTGAACCCTGCGTGCCAACGTGCAATGATAAGCAGCGAGGAAGCCAGCACAATCCAACACCACAGTCCACTGAGAGCAGTATTTTCAAGAGGAAAACCCACTAGTAAAGAACATGTTGCTTTCTCTTAGAAAAGCCCCTAGAACACAACCTGTCTCGGTTGGTAAAGTAGGTAGTGGCAAACAGAGAGAAAGAGAAACAAGAAGTTATAAAAATGACCACACATTACATGGGCTGAGCTGGCTAAAGGCTGCAACGTTACTTTATTGGAATGGTTCTTCTTTGTGATTTTAAAAATTCTTTTTCTTTTTAATGGATGTACCTATATATTTATAGGATATATAACTGTCTATGTGTAATAGTGTGTAAGGATCAAAATGGGATAATTAACATTTTCACTTCTTTCTCTCTTCCTTCTTTCCATTTTTCATTTTTATTTTTGGTGCCAGTACACGGGCTTGAACTCGGGGCCAGGTACTACCAAGCAGATTTCCCACTCAAGGCTGGCTCTCTATCACTTGAACCACACACCCACGTCTGGCTTTGTGCTAGTTAACTGGTAAGGTAAGAACCTCACACTTCCCTGCCCAGGCTGACTTGGACCTTGATCTTCGGATCTCAGCCTCCTGAGTACTTAGGAATCTACACACAAACACCTAGCTTTCCCTATCCTTTCTTCATGTTTGGGGAATGCAAATCCTCTTCCGATTCCTCAGAAAACATGTAACAGGTTGTTGCCAACTACTCAGCCACAGTACTGTGACACAGAATACTACAGCTTAGCCATTCTACTCTATTACTGGCTATCCAGACTCCCTCTCTCCTTCCTGCCTCCCTCCCCCTCTTCCTTTCCCTCTCTCCTTCCCTCCCTCCCTCTCTCTCTCTGATCTCTGAAGCATGTCAGAGTCCTCTAGAATTTAAATCCTGGCTTTGTATTAGGTTCTTCTGCCAATGGAAGGTTTCAGGTATAATAAGTGTCTGCCATCGAAGATGCGAGGCCTTGTAACCCAGAGTCTTCACTGTGATCTCGCCACCAGCATCACAACCTGATACACTGAACACGAGCAGGCGACAAAGCAGGCGACAAAGGGCCATGCTAAGATGTGGCTGCTAGGCCTGTCACGACCAGCCACACACGGCATGTGTGAGCCCCAGGAAAAGCAACAAAACCTCTCCATTTCTGTATGGCCTAGACCACCTACTTGCTTATGAATCCTTACTAATGTTCCAAAGGGGACACCAGCTGTGGGCAGAGATACAGCGGAGGGCATATGCTAATGACACAGGCGGAGGGCGAAGCCAGGCGCTGGTGGCTCACACCTGTCATCCTAGCTACTCAGGAGGCTGAGATCTGAGGATCAAGTTTCGAAGCCTACCTACAAATCTGTGAGCTTCAATTAACCACTAAAAAGCCAGAAGTGGAGGTATGGTTCAAGTGGTAGAGTACCAGCATTAAGTGGAGAAAGCATAAGGCCCTGAGTTCAGGCCCAGTACTGGAAGATTTTTTTAAAAAGCATGCACAAGGCTGAGCGGAACCGATGGTTTGGCTCTTAGGGTGTTATCAAACGTAAGTGTAAACTGCAGATTAACCCAGGCCTCTGGGAAGTGCACCCCAGGACTGGGTGTGGGGTCTGGGACGGTGCCTCAGGAAGCGGTGATTTTCAAGCCACACGCCCTGTGGCCTTTGGGAAATCACTTCAAAGCCACTAGGTACAGTTTCTTACCTATAAAATGGAGATGGCAACATACAGCTCATTGAGATGTAGTCACAAGACTCCAACAAAACAACCCCACTGTGCTCATACACTGACCTTTGAATGGATGTGCTGAACTGAAATCCCTTTGTAGAGCGACTGAAGAATAGTAACATTGTTCAAAGAATGAACATATAAAAACAAATAAACAATCCATCTAAGAAGACGAGCTGTGGCCTAAACCTGAGTTGGTACTCAAGCCCGCAGGAGACAGACACCTACACAGCCTCACAGCCGAGGGCCCTGCTCCCGGGGCCAGTTCAGCACTGCCCTCGCCCACTGTCCCTGGGAACGCACCTGAGCTGGACAGGCACTGCAGAGACGCACAGAGCAGCTCCAACTCACGCGCTGGCTGTAGTGCTTGTGATTTCCTCACCGCCCCCCCCCCAGTCCACAGCCAGTGGCCGTCGCCTGGCGCCCCCGAGTGTGGGGCCAGCTGTTTGTGTCATGAGTCTCCGGTCATGTGACGCTGACTGACTCTCTCCGTGATTGCACACACGCCTGACACCTGTTCCATTGCAGGAGCGTTAGCACGCTCACCTGCTTCAGAACACACCTCTGCCACCAGAACAGCCACCAGCAAGATCGCTCGCGACACCAAAACTGTGTGCTCTCGCTGAGCAGGAGTAGCCACTAACCAGACAGAGCCAGGCAGGACAAACTGAAATGCAGCCGGGCGCCCGCGCTGCACACCTGTCATCCTAGATGTTCAGGAGGCTGAGACCTGAGGATCACAGTTCAAAACCAGCCCGAGCAGGAAGAGTCCATGAGACCCGTATCTCCAATAAACTACTCAAAAAAGCCAGAAGTGGTGCTGTGGCTCAAGTGGTAGAGCGCTCGCCTTGAGCACCAAGAGGCTCGGGCACAGCACCTAGACCCTGAGTTCAAGCCCTGGGACTGAAAAAAAGAAAAAAGAAATGCAGAGTCTTCATTCAAAAGTAACATTTGACGCTGGGAATGGAACTCGGGGGTAGACACTTACTTAGCATGCGTGAGATGCTTTACTTGATCTCCAGTACCAAAAGAAGAAAAAAAATAAACTAAAAATTGAGGTTTCATAAGTGAGGGGATGGGGTCCTTCTAGAAGCAGTACCTGGTACAGTGCAACCCAGGGCCTTAGACAGGCAGGGCATGCACTACCACTAATCTCTACTTGAAGCCTTCATTTTTTTTGTTTTTTGGGAGGATAGGTATAACAATGTAGCCCAGCCTGGCCTTGAACTGACAATCCTCTTGCTTCAGACTCCTAAGTGCTGAGATTATTGGTGTGTGCCACCAGCCTGACATTTCCATGGCCCATCTAAATGAGTAGTAAGAAAGCAGAGTCTAGATATAAAACAAAGCCCCAAAAGGAGTATAACTTATAGCCCTGAGGGAAATAATACGCTACACCATGTAGAACTTGCTCTCTTTAGATAGAATTATTTTAACAGATATGAAATGATCATGGAGATCTTGGAATACAAGGAGATTCTCACTTGAAGGTGAGCAGTAAGCAAACAAACATTATTTGAAGTCTTTTATTTACTTACATAGTGGCTGGAATCCTTATCATCCACTTTTCTTTTCTTGATGTCATTGGAAAATTCAGGCCCATTTCTGCGTTTATCGGTGGCTCTTAAGCTGTCTGGAACCAAGAGGGAATTACTCTACAAGACCAAAAAAAAAAGAAAGAAAGAAAGAAAAAAGAAAGCAATTAATCAAAGGTTCCTTCCCAGACCTCTGTGTACACACGAAATCTCAGCCTGGACGTGACAGCTGTTTTAGAAAGGTGATGGTTATACAGCCCTTCATTCCCTGCAAGTCATCTGTCTAAAGACTGATGGCAAACATTTGTAGAGCTTTCTGCACTTAAAAGGACCCTGCCTCAGGCAGTCAAACCATTATCCCCGTGGGTCTTCCAGAACTACTCAGAATGTGCTTTGGCTCTATTAGTGCGTGGAAAGGGAGCTTGCTGTGGGAGTGTGGGCACGGTTCTACTCTCTCACACTGCACGGTCCTCAGTCAGGCCAGGAACAAGGCTACAAGCCAGTCCTGAGATTACGCCATTAGGCATCGTCCTCACAGTCAAGAGTCACTGTGTACCACTCCAAGGAGACACAAAGAAGGCAGGGGGGGTGAACTGTGTGGTTTCCTAAAAGGCAAATCACATTCTCCACTGCTACAATAAAGGAACTTTTGAATTCTTTTTAATTCATCGTGGAAAATAAGATTTGCTGGTGCTCACCAACAGCACTGAAACTTGAGCCCCAAGGGAGAAATCTCAGCCGGGGAGTATCTTCAACGGCAAGACCAGCTCCCCCACACAAGCAGGAACAAGGCTAATCTTTCCACAAACCACACAGGGATACTTTCATTGGCATATGCTGAGCGGGAACTGCTGACCCAAAGAAAACAGGCATTTTAGATATTTGGGGGGCGGGGGGTCACATGACATGATCTGACAGCCCTTCAATTCCCAGAGAGCAGAGAGTTACAATGAGGTCTTTTAAGCACAGGATTAGCATATGCAAGGGGGAAATTTGTTCAGTGATGTGTCACAGCCTTGAACAATGCTGAATGAGCTGCGCAAAAACCGCCTTTCACAAGGCCTAGATAACCCTGCTTTCAGCGGGATGTTTGAGAATCCAGAGGGGCGCGTGTGCGTGTGCACATGCGTGTGTGCATGCGTGCGTGCGTGCACGCAAGAGTCAACAGACAATTATTTTACTTTTCTCTGCTGTAATTTAAAACAGAAAAAGTTGGGGGAAACCTTTCAGAAGGACCACATCAAAACAACCCAAAACACTTGGAGCAAGTATTTTATGGTAGTTATCTTCCCCCAAAGGCTGTGCATTTTCATTTCTTACTTCCAAGAGGTAATCCGCCAGGGGGCTGGTTCTCCCCTCGAGGGCTCCCACCCAAAGGCGATCTGAAGCCTGGCCATCTACTTCAGGGGTGGGGGGCAGTCGCTGAGCCCCCTGAGCCCTGCGACTCATGACTGCTCAGGCAGAGGAGCCCAGCAACCAAACAGAGAAAAGCCCAAAGTAATGTCTTTACCGCAGTGGCTAGGGCCAAGAGGTGAGCTGCCTGGACCCTGAACTAACCACCTTGACCAATGTCCACTAGAAACATGCCCTTCCTAACCGCTCCACTCCAGCATCACGACTGGACAAGGAGAGACAGAAGAGCACTCTCACACTTGCAATCCTAGTTCCGCAGCCAGGGGAGGGCAGTCCACCACACTCCTCTCCAATTAACCAGAGAAAGGCTAGAAGTGGAGGGATGGCCCAAGAGGTAGAGCACCAGCACTGAGTAGAAAAATTAAATACCAGCGTTAGATAAATTAGTTAATTCATTAAATACACGTACATACACGAATCCGCCGGAGTGCTCCGGACTCTAAGCAGATGTACCAGGAGCAGAACTGTGTCTTTCTCGACCTTACGTGTGTTCAACGACTCAGCCAACGCCGGCAGTGCCCAGCCTCTCTCCACAGGCCGTCTTCACAGCCGTCCCACCCAACCGGCACCGGGGCTCTGGACCGCTCGACCGTTCCAAGACAGCTTTTGAATGATGTAGTTTTAAAATGATGTCAAGAGGAATTGTAGATGCAAAATAAACTACACCTCTGTGTAAGGAACAATGTGATTTCTGTCTGAAACGCTTCTGCCGCTGGACCTATGCTTCCACGAGTTAGAAGTTACTACTGTCATTTCCGCTTGAGCAGCTTGCATGAGGCCTGGAAGCTGAAGGAGTCTTGAAAAGCTCTGAGAAGTTTCTCTGTATTTTGGCTGGCCTCGTAATTAGAACCCCTGCTTGTATCTCAAAATTGGTCCCGTGCAGCCAGCAGACTTCCAAGGGTTTAGGAGACAAGATGTCTCTTCATGCCTTTGATATTACACAATCAACTCCCAGCAAGTCGGTCGGAGCCGAGTGGGAGGCCCTGGCTGCAGGGACCCCTGGCAGGCCCCTCCACCCAAGAGGAACCCCAGACTGACACCTCTGTTCCCATGAACAGCTTTCTGGGAGAGACTGCCCGGCTTTCTAGCCCTGACGCGGATTTGGCGATTGTGCTTGCTGTCAGCAAACAGCTCCAGCCTAATGCGCTACCCTGGCGGCAACAGTAAGTGTTTTGCTTTGTGCCACCGGCCAGGAAACCCTGATGTGGGACTGTCCCTGCTTCCGCCTCGGGCTTCCCCCACTGGCCGCGCTGGCAAGACGGCACTGGGATGGTCGTCCAAGCCACTCACACACATCCTAGAGTACTGACTGACCGTCCTTCTGCTCCTCTGACTCCCTACCACAGAGCATCTATGTAGGTTCTGTTATCTAACACATACGTAAGAAGAACCCTTGCCAAAAGAATGTGTGTGATAAACACTCACGCATTCCAAACCCAGAAGACACAATTGCACTCAAATCTGGGAGGAGGCCAAAGCACCTTTTAAAAAAACAAACCCTATTTTTTGCCAGGCACCAGTGGCTCATGCCTGTAACTCTAGCTACTAAGGAGGCTGAGATCTGAGGATCATAGTTCAAAGCCAGGGCTAGGCAAGAAAAGTCCGTGAGACTCTCATCTGTAATAAACTACTCAAAAACAAAGCAAAACAAAAACCGCAAGTGGAGCTGTGGCTCAAGTACTAGTAGAGTACTAGTGTTGAGCAAAAGCAGCTCAGGGACAGCACCCAGGCCGCATTCAAGCCCAGGATCTGCACTAAACAACTAAATACATAAATACATAAGTAAGTAAATAAATAAATAACACACTTTTCAGGCTGGGAAGGTGGCTCAGTGGTAGAGCGTTTGCCTTGCATGCCTGAGGCCCTGGGTTCGATTCCTCAGCACCACATAAGCAAAAAGAAAAAAGCCAGAAGTGGTGCTGTGGCTCAAGTGGTAGAGCGCTAGCCTTGAGCTGAAGAGCTGAGGGACAGCGCCCAGGCCCAGAGTTCAGGCCCCATGACCGGACCCCTCCTCCAAAAAAAAAACAAAAAACCACACTTTTCACGAAGTCAGGTACCAGTGGCTCACGTCAGTCATCCTAGCCACTCAGGAGGCTGAGCCCTGAGGACCTTGGTTTCAGGCCAGCCCCGGCAGGACACTCCCCGAGACTCTTATCTCCAGGTAATCACTAAAAACCAAGACGTGGAGGTGCGACTCAGCGGATGGGGCCCCAAGCCTCGGTGAGAAAGCGCGCACAGGCCTGCGTCCAGGCCCCACAGCCACGAAAGTACATGCTTTGCCGCCCAGAATGAAGCAACTGACCCACCTGGCAGCGCAAGAGCTCGGCGCTGGAAACAGCAATTACAGCAACAGTCAAGAGCCACTGGCCAGAGGGGTGTGAGCTCCCCGCCCTTTTCTCACGCATCCTGCCACTCAGGAGATGGCACCGACAGGCCCTTCTGCCCAGCCACAAGCCACAGCCTGCCACTCAGCACCTAGACCTCCAGACAGCATTCGCCACCTAGAATTCATTTGTCAAATATTCATCTACCAGATAAATATTTAATCGCGAATCCATTTTTTCTGATCAACACGAGGAGCAGTGTTTCCACACTGACTGATAGGCTCATCCCAGCCAAGAAACGCAGTGCTGATGTCACCTTGCATCTGGTAACACGCAAGTATCTGCCAGCATTTCCTCCAACACGGTAAATACTGGGCAGACTTCTGTTACAAATGTCCTGAGGACTGGGATTCCCAGACTGTGTATAAGTTTTCCATTGTCTTAAAATTCTGTGAAGAAATAAACACAATTGTCTTCTTTACCTTATGTTTTTCTACAAGGACTCAAGGAGTTAGTCTGCTCAGGGGAGCTCTGACAAACCTGAGCAAATCAAGATCAGAAAGCCCAGTGTTTTCAAAACAAACTGAAGCTCTGAAAAACCATAATGATTTTTCTACACCTTATGTGTTACATACGCTTCAGGATATAGAACCAAGTTAAAAACAAACAAACAAAACACTAAAGGGAGAAGCATATCTGACAAGTCTCCTAAAGGAGAAACGCTCAGTACAGAGACAGGAGGGAGACAGGAGGAAGGGTCCCAAAGCGGTGCCCTGGGCCTGACTCTCCACGAACAGCACTGCCGTCCTCACTAAGCAGGCCCTTCTCACACGCAGAACGAAGAGGCCCTTTCCCTGCTGTTCCACAAGAGGGTCGTGGACCTCACGGGCAGACAAGGTCAATTCAAGCCTCTGAAAAGCAAGCAAACACCAAAGATCGTGGCCTAATTATAAAGCCATGCGTTCACAGACAAGCTTATAAGGTAAGCTACAGGGTGTATAGAAGGCCACTGAGTATCCCACAGAAGCTCTGGAAAATGCCAGGATCTAGACTTTGACCACCACGAACCTATTCTGCGCGAGAGAGCAGCCATGCCATGCCCTCGGGCAGCTACTGCAGACTAAGACAGCAATGGCTCAAGAGCAGCAGTCAGGACACGAGCTATTCTTGCCAGTCACTGGTGGCACACACCACTCATCCCAGCTACTCCCAGCTACTCAGGAGGCTGAAATCTGAGGATCACGGTTCGAAGCCAGGCTAGAAAATCTCTGAGACGCTTATTTCTAGTTAACTAACAAAAAGCCAAAAGCGGGCCCGGTGATGGTGGCCCCTGATGTAGATCTACGTTTGAAGACAGCCCAGCTAAGAATGACTTTGAAACGC